AATGCTAAAAGGGTCGTAAACTCCCATTATTCTTCTCTCGTATAACATTAATTCTTAATTTTGTCATTAGTTGAACTTAATATTATAACCCTGGATCTTTGAAATTTACCCTACTTCCCTATAGTTATTTTATCACTAAAATAACTATAGGGAAGTAGGGTAAAGAAGAAAAAATAAACAGATCTAGTGTTATAATAGTAAAAATAATTATAAAGAAATTATTCATTTACTATAAGACTAACCACTAGACTGTTGAATAAAGATGCAATACCAGATTGCCCATTTTGTCCATTAGTTATTTTAGCGATAAAATAGCAGTGGCTTTACTCAAAAATCGGGATGAATGAATACACCTCAAGACTACCAATCTTGAGTGCAATATTATATAGTCAATAATAAATATACTATTCATTATTTACCATATTGATTATACAAGGGTTTAGTGATCTAACAAAGATCATAAACGAATAATGCAACGAATGGACAAGGACGATTTAGCGGATTACTTAAAAGTCAATCATTTAGAACAATTAAGTGTTCAAACACTTTTCGACTACCACAGCAGTGTAGGAGAAATAAAAGATTACTGTGAAGATTTACTTGAGTGCTTTAAAAAAGAGCACATTTACTGTGACGAAGATATTCGATACAACGATTTGTGTGCTAAAGAAACCGAAATCCTTGAGGATATGCATATTGTTCTTAACAAGATTATTAAAGAACATCAAGGAACAATAAAAGCTATAAGAAGAAACGCTGCTGAAAGAAGAGAAGAGCTTAAAGCTATCAAAGTTAAAAAAGAAAAGTAATTAATTACTTTTTTAATTAATATGTTTTTTTGTTTTACTTCTGTATCTCATCTTCTGGTAGAGTATTACCGAGATTAGATTCTTCTGTAGTTAGTATTGGTTCTTTTCTCTTGAGAGGTAAATCGAAAACATCTCTTCTTACTACATCTTCTGGTACATCAGTCATTTCCATATCATTCAGTATTTCATCTAAATAATTATCATCAACATCATCAATATTATCAATTGGTGGAAGTTCTTCTTGTAATCTATCATTAGCTGCTATAGCATTAATCAAATTTGGTGGTAGTTCTCCGTATAGTTCTTGCAACATTGCTATTCTATCATCATTATTATTGTTATTCTCAATGTATAATTTCTCTTTTGTAGAGAGTACGACAGTATTCTTATCTAACCAATCTCTGTCTCCTTTATTTCCTGCCATAGTTTGTAATTCTTTAAAGCTTCCTGGGTTTAATACTATGATGGTTGGTACTGTTATTACGTCTAAGTGTCCATATTTAACATTTACTCTTACTTTTTCTCCTCTGGTGGATATCATAGCTTTAAAATCTTCCCAATCTATTGAAGTTAGATTGGCATCATCAAACAAGCGAAAGTCATATTCCCTATTTTCATCATGACCGTCTATCATTATTCTTCCTCTGAATTCGTCTACTTGCTTTTCTTTAAGTAGGTCGTTAATGAATTCTGTTTTACCAAGCTTTGTCTCTGAAACAATTACTAATGCAGGTGGTCTCTTGATATCTATTGTTTCTAAAGTATGTATCCATGCTCTTGCTCCCTGGACTACTGGATTTGTTTCTTTCCAGGGATTTAATTTTATATTTATTCTATGCTTTCTATCACGACTATGCTGTTTATCATACATTTCTCCAAATTTCTTTTCATTGTTCATGACCCAGGCTGGGCTTATATTTCTTAAATAGGCAATTGCCTCAGCCTTCGAGTTCATTCTTAGTGATTCTTCTATCATTGTATCACCTACTTTATGTCCTTTTGTCGTTTTTAAATTTCCATATTCTTCAAATGTTGCTCTTGTGTTGTGTTTCTTGCCTTGATTTTTTATGTATTCAATAATGCTTAGATATGATCCATCAAAGGCATCCATTTTAGTAAATGGGCTGAAGTTAATTTTCATTTCTTTTCCGTTTATATTAACAAGTGGTTTTCTCATCACATCGGCCTGTTTTTCTAGAATAAAGAAAACATGACCGTGTTTATTGGTCCCTTCTATTGTTTTTCCGAAGGCTAAATACTGAATATTGGCTTTGTTATTCTTTGTAGAGCACCAAGACGACAAAGCTTCTTTCATTGTTTGTAATGTTGGAGGTGTTTGTATATTCTGAAAATTGATATAGGCGAATCCCGCGATTGATTTGAAATGGTAGTAATTTCTCCCGTTTGAATTCATTAATGTTTTTTTGTTCCTGTTGTATCTTTTTATTTTTTAATTTGTCTGTTTTTTTTTATAAAATTGTCTGTTTGAGTCACAGGTTTAGATCTTTTTAATATTTATTTTTTTATCTTTTAATCATTTATACAAAAAAAATGTGCAACGGCAATACCATTCGGTGTTTATCAGAAATTATGAGTAATATCAAAGAGGAATTAGATTTACATTTAAAACATGATAATTCTTTATATGTTCGCTGTTTAGTTTATTCTATTTCTTATTTCCAGAGAAGATGGCTTTTGAAAATTATAAGTTCGATTCTCTGGTTATGAATTATTTGGATTTCTTCATTGAAGACTGTTACTCTCTTCTTATTGGCGGTGAAAATCTTGCTAATCTTCTCAATGCTGTTAGAGATTATGCTTATTATGATGATCTCTCTTTAGCTTTAATTAAGTAATTTTTACTTCTTTATTGTTTATCTTTAAAATAGATACTTATTATTATTAATATTTAGTTTTTATTAAAACAAAAAAGACATTAATTAAAAAGTAATTAATTACTTTTCTTTTTTTAACTTTGATAGCTTTAAGCTCTTCTCTTCTTTCTGCAGCATCCCTTCTTATGGCTTTGATTGTTTTTGTGTTCTTTTTTATAATCTTATTAAGAACGATATTCATATCTTCAAGAATATCAGTTTCTTTGGCGCATAATTCGTCGTATCTAATGTCTCCATCACAATAAATGTGTTCTTTTTTGAAACATTCCAATAAATCCTCGCAGTAATCTTTAATTTCACCGACACTGCTGTGGTAATCTAAAGTGTTGCAACGCTTATTTATTCCAGGTGATTTGTTTGTATGTAATCTTCTATGTCATCCTGATTCATTCGTTGCATTAGTGGTGTATGAATCATTTGTATCATCATCTTCAAAATTATCAAATTCCATAAACTAAATTTATAAAGATTCAATTATTTAATAGTTTGTTTGAAAAACTTCCAATCTTTGTTCTAATAGTCCATTTCGTATTTCTTCATTTATTTTCATTTCTTGATTATACATATTTCTTATCTTCTCTATTTCTTTTCTTAATCGTTTATTCTCGGAAATAATATCTTCCATAAGATCATTCAAATTATCATTTAGTTGTCTTTTAATATATTGATTCATCTTATCTTTTGATTTCTTGTTTTCTTAGGTACTGCTTCTATTGTTGGATTAGTTGCTCTTATTA